GCCAGCTTGTTTAATAAACCTGGACAAAGAAAATGTTGTATCTTGGGATTATATGTTCAAAACCTTATAAGCTATAATTGGTTTAAGTGATAAAATAATTAATTGGATTCGTACTTTATACAAAGATATTGAATCTTCTGTAATAGTAAATAATCACAATTCCTCTCCATTTAAATTACATCGATCCATAAGACAATGGTGCCATTTATCTCCAGTTTTGTATGTTCTTTGTATCTAGCCCTTTACCATAAAAGTACAAAATGATAGCAGTATTAAAGGTACATGTGTATAACCGTTCCTGGTGGTTCATATGGGTGTAAAATGTCATTAAATGCAGACGATAATACGGCCATTTTTAACTTAATGCTAAATCAATGCGTTACTTTATTGATGTGGTAAAACTTTATGAAAATAATTCGGGTTCAAAAATGAAGTACCGAAATGTCTTTGGGTAAATGGAAAAATAGATCGGGTCCCCCTTTCTGTATTTCATGGATCAAACATAACAAATTATTAAGTTACAAATTTTGATTCAATTGAAGTGATGATGACATATGACAGAGTGTATAATTATAATAAATTTAGTAAAGGTTTAAGCCAACCCAAAGAAAGGAATATCTCTTGTACGGGCAAGAGCACAATAATAAATTTTTGATGTTTTTTTTGTTGTTGTTGTTGTTGTTGTTTTTTTTTTGTTTTTTTTTGGTTTTTGTGTCAGATACTGGATTGGGTTAGATCTTAGATCTTTTTATAGTGATTTAGTGAAAAAAAGTTTCCCAAAAGTGAATATGTCTCAATATTTTATCAACATGGTATGAAATTTTTTAACTTTTAAAATATATCTTCGTCCAAGGTTTTTCCGACCAATTAATATGATTGCTTTACATCTTCTGCTACTTTGTAATATATTTACAAAATAAATGAAATAAACTTTAATGAAAATCAAAAAATGAAATTTAATGTCTGCCCTTGCAGTTCTTTCTCTCTGTGGTACGTGTACAACGGTCGCTTTAATTACAACATGTCCTCGATGCATGTATGTGGTCGCATGTTTAGAAAAGGACAATTTGGTGCGGAACTGTTTCCCTTAGTTTCTTAAAAGAACAGCTAGGAGTTCTTTTAAAGCGTAATTACATGTAGGACTTTGTTACTTCTGTTAAGCATAATGAAGCTTTGATTATGCTAAATAGGAAAGATAAAAGTCCTCAACTTTGTTACTCCCAGTTACAACTAATTAGGAATTATTATAATAGTTATTTTTATAATTAGGAGAAATAAACCTAATTACAACTTCAAAATCTTAATAAGGAGTTTTAAAAGCCTATCTAGGAGTAATTAAATATTAGTTGAGATATGAAATATATGGAGTTCCGCTTTCTGGATAACTTCCTCACATGAAAGAATCCTAAATTTTATTATGAATATACATTCTGCGACATTAAATGATAGTGTTGCGACATTTAACGGCGAAAGAAAATCGTGCATTTACCGTTACAGTTGCGACATTAAAGACAGAAGATTTTGTGACATTAAATGACGGTTGTGACATTAAGCGGCAATGTCAAAGCAATTCTGTTCATTTTCACCATCAACATTTCTCTTTCACATAGCATCACTAAGAAAAAGACGTACACAGGTGCGTACGTTGGCTTATTTTGAGTAAACTCCATATTCAGTTTGTGGATCAAAGGGTCGTTACTATCAGGCATTTAAAGGCTTATTATACTTCAAAAACAAATTAAATTTTACTTCATCAGAAAGTACGAATTTGTGTTTTCTAATGATAGTGTTTTACAGAATGTAAGATGCTTGTTATCTGAAAAAGTGGCAGTATATGTAAAATAATAAAAATAGCAAAATGTAAAGAAAGAAGCACTTTTTTCATACTCCATATATATATTATACCTATGTTTTTTTCAGAAAAATTTTACATCACCAGTTCGACACCGAAATATTTTACAACTGAAAGGAGAAGAATTCTTTAAGACATAGTCTTTCGTTCTTATCCTCTTCTTTGAATATTGTCAAATTTTGTTATTTCAAATATTATTATGTAAATTTTCTGAGAATAAATATGTTTAAACTAAACAAAGTAGTATTTTGACCGCCATACAAAATTGTTATTCAATATGACTATACTTATTGCCAAAAAGCAGCAAATCAAAAATATGGTAGAGGTAATTGGCCAATTGGGTAACAATTTAAAAACTATAATCAGAGTACATTAAAATTAAATAGCTTTCAAAAAATGAAAATAAAAGCATTCATGAGGTAAAATGGGCCTTTTAAATATAAAAACGTATATTAAACTAATGTTATGAAAATAATATAAATTACTAAATTAAAGGTCCATTATGCGTGTAAAATGCTTAAATTCTTATTTCTTAAAAGCTTTTAAATTTTGATGTTACCGTACTTTTAAAGTATCCAAAATGTTACACAATGGCAAATTACTGGAACAGAACCAAACAGAAATTTTATTTCTTGGTTTAAGCATAAAAGCTCATCACTATATTACGTATACAAATAAAACATATAATACATAAAGACACATGCAATGAACATATATAATTGCAAAATAATGGTTTATGAAATGTTAGAATGTTTAATGAGATAAAAAAATTACTTAAACAGCATATGAATACATATTTATAATACACAAACATTTGTCTACCTTTACCTAACATTATCAAATTAATCTACAATATATTTTGTTTCGTGTAATGCCTATCAATATAATCCACAAAAAAACTGCCGTTTTAATATGAAATAGTGATTATGACAAATGAAGGGGAATAACTTATTATATAATTTTACATAACAAATATTTTAGCATTTATTTCAATTTTATAATTCATGATCAATAACAAACAATTTAATTCATTTCTGTAAAATAAATGAAACACGTGTACTGCCTTTCTACGCTTTTATATAAAGAAAAAACACTAAACAGAAAAATATACGAAAAGACCAAAACTAAATTAAAATAAAACTACACTTTATTATAAAGATTATTTTTGTCAAAACATTTAATCTTGAAATTTATATTTTGTTATGTGTTGAAAAACAGACAGACACGCAGCTAAGTATTTCATTTTAGAAGATACAAATATAAATAAAAACAGAAAAATATATATGTACAATATCATATTCAAAAATAACTTAACACTTCTATATGATAAATGTACAATTTGCATTTAACAGTGACAATGATAGTTATGAAAAAAATAGCAGAAACAAAGAACAGATAAAGAGGGCAATATTAATGCGTCAATATATTTTTTCAATGTTAAAGCTTTATCACAGAAAACAGCTAAATGTTTCAATTCTTTCTTTGTAGCTTTCATGAATGATTCGCAACTCGGTAATACCACACCTATGTAGTTAAAAGAATAAACTACCTCAATTACTTGATTATTATAAAACCATTTATCCTTATTTCCAAGTATTCCACCTTTTCTGAATACAACTAGTTTCGTCTTTTCAATATTTACTTCAAATTCCGATTATTACATGTATTACAATAGGACAATAAACAATCAAATGACTTCTGCAAATGACGTCAGGTATCTCTATTCAGGTTTTAAAATACCTCGCAAGATTTATTCAATATATCTAACAAGGTAATTTTTTGTTCGTTGGGGGTTTTGTTTTCAAAATATCTACCCATGAGATATGATCAAGGAAAATATCGCGTTAAAGATTATGTGTAATACGATCAAACAAACAAAACAGATGGTTTGTTTTAGAGTAATAATAAACAATAGTCCGCAAACTACGCCTTAAACCGTTTATCCTCATTGCAGTTTTTCAAAAACAGTTTAGAGGTGCGCATTATGTGAACAATAGAACATATTTTTCCTTATAGTTTTTCCTCAACTTAACTCTTTCAAATTTCAACCGTTCTTTTTAAAATATATTATTAAATTATACTGTTAAAGCCCCACTATGCCTTAGAAATCCTTAAATTTTATTTATCAAAAGCTTAATATACCCCTATAAACGAAGTTTTTGGAGTTATAGGAGTCGGCTTGCCGGTAGGTCGGTCGGTCTCCTTCATGGTGTCCGGACGATATCTAGAGTTAGGAATGAGGTATTGTATTCAAACTTGGTACATATAAAATTATTTGGAAACCTCGGTTAGTATTGTTTTTCGACTCCCTGCTGTCAAAGTAATAGAAATAAATAAATGGTTTCCAGACAATTATTAGACAGTATAGCAATACCACGTGACCTGGACGTCATTTTCGGCATCATTTCCAAGACAAATATTGCTCGATTCGAAAAGGAAAATAGCCGTAAGTATTTTATTTCTGCACCGATTTCTTTGGGATATGCACCATTCTTCGGGGAGAAAAATAAGCTTGCAATAGCATAGTGTTTTTCCTTCAGTATATGAGCCGTTTTATCATAATCTATGAAGATCCTATGTCCCTTCTAGGGTCAAGGTAAATGTCACTGTTACTAAAAATAGAAAAATGGTTTCAGGACAATCACTAGACTTAGGAATTATAGATATTGTAATAAAACTTGGTATATAGCAAGGATAAGCAGCTCGCAGGCATAAGTAAGAATACAGCATTTCGGTCAAATCAAAACTAAAAAAAGAACTAAAATGTTAACAAATATTAATTTAATGTTGGTAGGTGTTAACTAAGTTTATTCTTATTTTTCGACTAAAACTACCTAAATTAAGTCAACTCATATATATCTTTATATATATAACAGTAAACAGTATATTTTTATACTAGTCTTATTATTATTGCTGTGGAAACTGAAAGTACAAAATGTCTGAAAGATTGAGCGCACAAAGCATAAACTTGAATCAAACGGACAAGTGGTTGTTATGTAGCAGTGATATTATTTTTATATTTACCTTGATATCACAGAAAAATTAAAATTTATATATGTCAATAAATCAAGAAATCATACAAAGGTCATTTAAAATACCGTAATTCGACAAACTTCACAAATGATTTTAACATTCTGTGCAGTTGGTTTATATTTTTTATAATCAGACTGCATTGTTCTACAAAGATATTCTAACATTTTTTCTGTAAGATTTTTAAGAAATAGTGACAAATAGTCAGCCTATCTGCACTAATGTACTTTGATTGCTTCTTTGAAAGCCCAATTTAAAATACCAAGAAAGGAAGTAAAAAACATGTATACTTTTGTCATTCCATATAAAGATAATATCGTACAAGTACAGACACAAGTTTTTAAACTGCGCCACTTGATATTTTGGGCATAAGCAGTGCGGATCGTTTGGTAAGTAAAATCCAATATACGTTTATATAACTGTAAAACTTTTGAAATTTTAAAACAATTTGTTAAATAGAACAACGTTATCCTCATATGTGTACTTATTTCCTTCATGTATATGGTTTGTTTACTTTAATTGTAAACAAATTGTGACAGATATGCGAGAAAGTATTATGACATTGTAATTCTATAACGACAAATGTAAGAAGGATTCTTATGATTTTGTAACACTATTATGACAGAAATGCGAAAAAGTTTTATGACATTGTAATTCTATAACGACAGATTAGCGAAAGATTCTTATGATATTGTAACAATATTATGACAGAATTGCGAGAAAGTATTATGACATTGTAATTCTATAACGACAGATTAGCGAAAGATTCTTATGATATTGTAACAATATTATGACAGAATTGCGAGAAAGTATTATGACATTGTAATTCTATAACGACAGATAAGCGAAAGATTCTTATGATATTGTAACAATATTATGACAGAAATGCGAAAAAGTTTTATGACATTGTAATTCTATAACGACAGATTAGCGAAAGATTCTTATGATATTGTAACAATATTATGACAGATATGCAAGAGAGTCTTAAGACATTGTAATTCTATTAATGACAGTTGAACTTGACATTCTTCAATAACTAAATAAACAGTATGTTTACAGTCACTCACTTTTCATTTTCAATCTTGCCATAGAAAGGATATATTTTGCGATACTTATATCTCAAAAACAAAATACATTTAACTTTTAATTTTGTACCAACAGGCGATGAATCGGTTAGCTGTTCTTGCCATTGATTTTGGGACAACTTACTCGGGATGGGCGTATTCATACAGGCATGAGTATGAACGAGATCCCCTCAAAATATCAGCAAAGATCTTTAAGGGAAATACTTTATCACTTAAAGGTATGCTTCTGTTACTGTCAGTATACACAAAAAAATATTGAACAAATCTAAGAACTAGGATGTGTACATTATTAGCTGATGTTATTTTTAACAACATTTTATACTCGATTTTATATTAAAGCCAAGAGTAAATGAGTGAAGACAAATATCAACCAGTCATTTGTAAATATGATGTTATAACAAAAATCTAAAAGTAGTTTTAAGTACTTAGTATTTGTTTATATATTCATTAATTTTTGTTTGTGCACAAACACTGTAAAGGTCAAATGTCGACATTTCAAGCTTTGCTGGTGAAGGAAGACATCATGTGCCACTTTATCAACTATTTCAGGCATAGTTACCTTACAGCGATGAGCAGCAAGTGATTTGAAGTCAAGAACCTTTAATATTTGGTCACGGACGCCCTTAAAATGTTCATCGTAGTGTTTCATTTTTTTTTGTGTTCTTGTTGACATATTTGTAATTATCTGCCTTCAATGTATGGATTTGCTGATTAGCAAAGATAATTGAAGATGTCATTTGATAAGTGGTTTTAACAACTAGGTACACATGTTTATCCATAAGACGGTAAAAATGTTATGCATTAATCTGTGAGGTTAGGGTTTATTGGAAATAAAAACTGTAATTGTTATTTATGAGGAATTTAGAATAACAATTAAGTTATCTGTTATTATTTTGTCAAATCGATCAGCAACAAATTGTTTCGATCATTATCAAATGATCACTATAATTAAACTGTGTTTGTTTTTTACAAATTTGTACGAACTTTAATTGTCAAGGTCACTAAATATCTCTCTGTACAAATGATTTTGAAATGTCTGCTGATGCACAAACAAAAATATTGCTTTCAGTTCCAACATGCATTCTGATCAAATCTGACGGAAAAACAACAGACTGACTGTTTTGGTTGTGAGGCTGAAGATAAATATGCAGAAATATGTGAAGAGAATGATCAACATCAATGGTTTTTCTTTAAAAGATTTAAAATGATGCTTTTTAAAGATGAGGTAAGTATAAGGTAACATAAACTGAAATATTTACCTATCCATAATGTGGTGTGTAACTGCATTATATATAAAAGAAAATGACAACAAATTAACAGAACCTTCTTCGCAGCCCCTAAGCTAGTCAGACAGTACAATATGGAAAATTTCTGGAGAAAAAGTGATGCCTCGGAAGCAATAATCACAACCAAATTAGATGAAAATTGCAGATTATGTTTGATTGATGCTGTACATCATGTGGCAACTTCATAGTATTAACAGGATTTTCCTATAGATGTATCTTGTTTCATATTTGATATATGCTGGCGTGCTCAACGTCTCAAACATTTATCATAGAACTTGAATTAGACTTTCTCATAGTGATTGTCACTAAGTACCCTGGTTTATAGCGTTGTAATTTGATCATTTGTTTTACAAAAGTGTATCCATTTATTGCTCACATCATGAAATGTTGGTGGAATGCCTGTTATGTGACAATTTCCTTTATGTTTTTCAAATTAAATAGACTGTGACTAATTATTAGAGAATTTGAAATCTTGTAAAGTGCATTGTTTATCATATTTACTGTACCAGGGTATGACAAGACAGGATACAATTGAAGATGAAACTGGTAAGAAACTACCGGCAATACAGGTTTTCTCGTTATCTATTGAGTACTTGGTGAAGGATGTTCTTGATAATCTAAACAATCATGTTGACTCTCGTATCGATGTCTCTGATATACAATGGGTTCTTACTGTTCCTGCAATATGGAACGATGCAGCTAAACAGTTTATGAGTGAATGTATGTATCTGTACAAGGCGTCTTAATAAGATTTCTTTCATTTAAATACTAAAAGTTAGGCGTGGAACTTTAACTTGGAAACTTTGAAAAACCCTTACCTTGTTTTAACACGAATTGTTTATATATTGACTTTCACATTATCAGTTATATGCTATTGCACTTTAAAGATCTTTGTGCATTTTCTTTTAAACAATTAACATATTTTAGCACTATCCTAGACAATGAAAATTATATATTTTTATTGTTCCTACTCAAATATTTGCTCCAGACGGGTTAATGATATTTTTGCTTTAAAAGGCGGGTGTTCCAGAAAGGAACCTAACTATATGTCTTGAACCAGAAGCAGCCTCAGTGTATGGTCGTCATCTTCCAGTATCCAAAGATGAAACATCGCTGGGCCAGTTTTCATCAGGAACAAAGTTTCTTGTTTTGGATGCAGGAGGTAATCTTGTGAATTGCACTACTGCAAGCTCTTCCATTTAACACATTTCCAGATTAAGACAATATGTTTTGTAAATGAAATTAATCAATATGGAAAGAAATACCATTTGGATTTTCTATCAAATCAGAAAAACATGTTGCTTATCTGGCAATGTATTTTAATGCTATTACAGGTGGTACAGTTGACATAACTGTACATGTAGTGAATGACTGGGGAAACTTGAAGGAACTTCATCAACCAAACGGAGGTGCTTGGGGGAGGAACTAAAGTAGACGAAGCATATGAAGCGTTCCTTACAAATATTGTTGGTAAGCACATAAATCAGTTCTCCAAATATTTATTTTGTAAACATTCATACAGTAATTAGACATGCAGTCGGAAAATTATCCTTTATGGAATTGGAACATTATATGATTTATTTAATATGCATTTATAGATACTTTTGATGCAAAATTAAGCCATTGAACATTTGAAACAGGTACTACTAGTTTTCTATTTATTTTGTACTTGTTGCGGTGTAGGACTTATATACAGTTTGTATTTCACATTTCGGACATGACACTCACATATAGGTACTTCTGTTGGTAAACTCAAATATTTGATTGAAAAAGAAATTATCTTGTAATTAAAGATCTCTACAGAAAATAGAGGTGAATTTATAAAATAATGTAGACTAAAATTTGTAGAATATAATATGCCACGTTTCAGAACTGTTCACTATTTAGGGGAAATAATGTGTAAGAGACCGGATATCTCAGTCGGTAGAGCCGCGGTACGGTATTCCGATTGTCTCGGGGTCTAGTCCCCGCCAGGCTGCACACTTTTTCGCCCTGTGACTTGGTTTATAAAATACTTATGGATTGATGTTTTTGATACAAACTCAAATAAATAATAAGTTGTTACAGGTACTATTCTACTATATTTTTGTTGTGTAAGACCTATTCAATATTACGGACATGCCACTCTCAAAATAAGTATTACATACAATGAAATGTCAATGGGGGAATTTGATACTACATCAAATAAAAATCATGTATTTCAGGTCCTAGTATTTTTGCAAAATTCAAAACAGAGCATTTGGATGACTACATCGATCTTTGCCGTATCTTTGAAAAAGCCAAACGGCAAATTTCTCCGACCAAATTAGATGGAAAAGTGACGATGCGTGTAATACCTTCCCTTTCTCAACTCTGTAAAGATATGACAGGATATGACTTCATAGAATTATTTCTACAGTCAAAATTCCGAAGCAAAATCAAAGTTATGGGCGGCGACAAGTTGAGAATTGATGCTGAAGTCTTCGCTGACTTTTTCAAACCAACCGTTAGCAGAATAATAAGCCATCTTGCATATATGCTGACCAAACCTGTTGTTCAGGGCTGTGCTGCCATCCTAATGGTTGGTGGATTTTCCGAATCACCAATGTTGCACGAGAAGGTAAAGTCCTCTTTCAGAAATATGAAAGTTATCCTTCCAGACGAGGCAGCAGTTTTAAAAGGAGCTGTCATCTTTGGTCATGAGCCGACAACAATAACTGAGAGGATATGCAAGTATACATATGGGGAAGGATCAACTCATAGGTACAGCAAAAGATGCAACCATCCAATAGGAAGAGTTCAAATGGATGAAAATGGTGACTTAAGATGTTATGATCTCTTTATAACTCATGTTAAAGCAGGACAGTCTGTCAAGATGGATGAAGAACAACCAGAAATGATAAGCACACCTATTACCGATGACCAAACTGCTATTGGTGTCGATGTGTATGCATCCTCTTTAACAAATCCGCAGCTTACTACAGAAGATGGATGCAATCTGATTGGAAAATTAAGGGTGCCTATATCTGACACAAGCTCTGGAAGTAACCATAAATTTGGAATAAGTTTCATTTTTGGAGGGACCGAGATTGTTGTAAAAGTCGTTGACAAGGAGTCCGGTGAAATCATGTTAAAATCTGTCGATTTTCTTGGATAGAATATAAACAAAATAAATCGGAACACTGACATTACTACTTTTTATTGTTTTGTTTGCTAGTATGAGGCAATGCTGTTCTTTGATAATATATACTGAATGCATGAAGCATTATTTTAGATTTTTTAAGCACTTGAAGCACACTACGTTAATATCACAAGCATTTCATATAACAGGTAAAGATTGCTATTTATGTATAATGTACCTTAATTTGTTCATATGTTATCGTGGAGGATAACTTTTTGACGGCATTGGAATGCAACATCTATTGGCGTTCTAACTATAACTATTATTATCGTACTTCTAAGTAAGAAAATGCTCTCAATATAATTGTTAAATACAAATTATATAAAATGATTAAACAAACATTTGAAATCATCTTAAGTCTTAAATTGCTAATTATATAGTGAACTGCAATCAATTAGAAATCGTGTTAGAATGATTTATTCCCATTAGTATGATTGAATTGTATTCAACTTTTTCATTTGGGGTACAGCATATTCTGTCATTAAAGACTACTATACATGTATTAATAGGGAGTGTAAACTAACACAAAATATGTACTTATTTATAATAAAATCAAGTATAGTGAATAAAAGAAATATAACACACAAAAAACAATTGTTTCTGTTGTACTTACTTTATATGAATTTTAGTTAAATCATCTTGTTGAATTTGTGTATAAGATTTGTTTAAGACTCTTAAATTCCAAAACGTCATATTATCTGTTTTGCAACGAATATTTTTAGAAAAGTTATTCTTGGAAATGAAGTTGTTTTTAGAATTTCACATGTAAAGGCATCTGCAATTTAACACCTTTGAAAATATTCAATTGGTAGTTAAGGCTCGTTTATTTGGACGGTACCTACAGAGTTGTTTGTAAATATAGATTTTCACGTTCTTTAAATATTGCCACAATTAACGACAAACTATGTTTACGGAGTGTCTTCTCTTAACGTGATAAACTTAATTACAATGTTGTCAAACTTAAGATCTTTAAAATATAGAAACCTTAATTTTATTTAGATGTTCCTCAGAGATAAATTAAATATATATTACTGGGTAAGACAGAGGATTGGGACTCCCATCCCGAGAACCATAGGTTACGTCGATCATGATATTGGCGATCAATTTAGTTCATAGACAATAGTTGATAAAAAGTATTTAACAATTCATTTTTTTCATGATTCAGTACTAGTTTATTTGACTATTTTCAATCAAAATAAAATCAAAGTAGATTCGTTTCTAGGCAGCTACGTTTTAATTATAAGACTTGAATGGTTAAAATGCAAATTGCTACAATGGTCGTGTTTACGAAAAATTCATTAGAATCTTAACTTGTAAATTGTAAAATCAATTTAATATTCCGGCCCATAGCTGTCACTGTCACTTTTCGATAAAACTCTCTGGTTGTTTACTGGGGTAAATATCGCGTATGTGCAGGAATGCATAAAACATGTTACAATAGGAGTGAAAAATAAGCCCATGTGAGCTGAGATATTTCGGTGAGTACATGAAAAATGCGAAAAATATCACGACTATATCACTCCCAGCAACGGCTTATTCACGCCCGTTTAACTCACAACGAGTGAAAAATGTCCATCGGTAAAAATGTTGTGAGCAACTTCCGTTCCTCGTTGTGAGCACCCATCTATGACGTGTGGCACGATAAACAAGGTGAGTTTTTCATAATTTTTGAAGATTACAGATATTTATGTAAAAATATCGAAATGCAGTTAGCTAGCGATGTGTTTTCCGAGTATGCACATGTAAAGATATTGCCTGTTGGTGGACAATTTGATGGAAATACCGTGCGACGCAGTCACTCGGGGTAGCTGGAAAACTGGAGACAACTTCACTTTGGACCTAATTTAACACTGAAAATCGTCGATTCTGGTGAAGTTTTTTGCATTTTAACCTAAAACAGATGCCCACAAATCTTCAGCGTAAATTATTTTCTGAAAGTCTTCATAGAAACGAAGATATACCCTTTTTTGCTTTAATCCTCGTTGTGAGCACCATAACCTCGTTGTGAGCAAGACAAGTGCAGTGCTTGTCTGGTTTTAATATGTAATTCAAATGACGAGAATACAATTTTCAATCTACCAAAAGCAATCAAAACGTTTTTGTACAATAGTTTTTCTTTGCAGTAGTTCTTCTTTTTTTTGAAAATTATTCTTCATATTCACAAGTCATCAGATTAACGGAAGAACTAATCATTGGAGGTAAATCAGGTATTTTATTTCGTATACTCTAGTGTGGCACGACTGAACATCACGGGAAGTTTATGAATATTTCAACAATTTCACAATCTGTGTGATACACACATATATGTGTTTATCATGAGCTGAAGACTGACCAAGGTACGTAAAACAAGAACTGTCACGGTAAGTTGACAATGCCCCCGAAGTGGTGCTTTGTCCTTTGATTTATGGACCAGATAGATTATTTGTTTTTGGACAATTAGATCTTCAATGTGAAGGTCATTCAAGGTCAAGGTGATATAAATATAGGTCAGTTGGAAGGTCTTGTCCAAAGGGGCATTGTGTCCAAATATGAATTAATTCCACTTACTAATAAAGAAGTTATGACCAATGTTAAAGTTTTTGGATTTTCTAGAAGGTCATTTAGGGTACAAGGTAAAAAAAAATACAAACCAGTTTGAAGGTCTTGTCTAAAGGGTTGTTGTGTCAAAATATGAGTAGAATCCGTATACTAATAAGGAAGTTATGACCAATTTTTAAGTTTTTGGACAATTTGACCTTCAAGGTGAAGTCATTCAGGGGTCAAGGTAAAAAATACAGGTCCGTAGGAAGGTCTTGTGCTAAGGGATGTTGTGTTCAAATATAAATCAAATCCGTTTACTAATAAGCAAGTTATGGCCAATGTTAAAGTTTTCGAACGGATTGACGGACTGACAGACGGACAGTTTAAAACTAATATGCCTCCCTTTGGAGTATGCACAACGTCTTGCAAAGAAATGCTGCTGTGCAAAAACGTTTTAATTGCTTTGGTAGATTGAAAATTATATTTTTCACCATCTGAATTACATATTAAAACCATACACGCACTGCGCTTGTCTTGCTCACAACGAGGTTATGGTGCTCACAACGAGGATTAAAGCAAAAAAGGGTATATCTTCGTTTCTATGAAGACTTTCAGAAAATAATTACGCTGAAGACTTGTGGGCATCTGTTTTAGGTTAGAATGCACAAAACGTCACCAGAATCGACGTTTTTTCAATGTTAAATTAGGTCCAAAGTGAAGTGTCTCCAGTTTTCCAGTTCCCCGAGTGACTGCGTCGCACGGTATTTCCATCAAATTGTCCACCAACAGGCAATATCTTAACATGTGCATACTCGGAAAACACATCGCTAGCTAACTGCATTCCGATAATTTTACATAAATGTCTGTAATCTTCAAAAATTATGAAAAACTCACTTTGTTTATCGTGTCACACGTCATAGATGGGTGCTCACAACGAGGAACGGAAGTTGCTCACAACATTTTTACCGATGGACATTTTTCACTCGTTGTGAGTTAAACGGGCGTGTTATTACAATAAACAAGGCAAATATATTCGAATGTTCACAAACAAGATATTTCACGTGAGGTAAAGACATTTTATTTCTCAAATTTTGTAAAGTGTTTATTTTGTTCACGTTTTTTTATCATCAATCTGTGTTAAATGAAACTTTGATTCTAAACCAATTTTGATTTCGTAGAAATCAAGCGAGATTTAACTTCCTTTCCAAGTATGACTTAATACAAAGTATTTATGTAGGGCAAATGATTATAGGCACTTAACGATCGAAACGTGGTCCGCTTTAAGACAAAGAATATATCAGGTAAACAAAATTAATAGTTGCGTTTTACCGATAAGAAATGTACATCTATTAGTAGGTTCTATATATAATCGTAAAATCACTAAATCAATGTACATCATCGACCTTGATTCTTGAAAGACATTCCACAAACAATCTTATTCTATCGGAACGTAGTGTTTTTTAATAAACATTTCGTACTTTTAAATTAATATGCAAATGCCCTCGAGAACTTTTGAGGACTATTTGTTACATTCATGCGAATGAGTTGCAGAGAACAAAGTGATATGAAATGAAAAGTCAACCATTTTGTTTGGTTTGAAAATATGCTCAGTTTGTTATGTTAAACTTAAATAGGTAAGGGACGTCATTGTAATGATAGAATCAAAATGCTTTAGCTGTTAATAGTTACATTATGATATGGGGGGGGGGGCTTTTACCTTCGTTTGTAAAGTTGTTGTATATATACTCGAACATTCGTCCCTAAATCCATGTACTCTGTTTCTAGAAAAACATTGCGCCAGAAATAAATAAGGTTTCTCAAACCTTTACTTTTGTAGACCTATTTATTAATCGTCTTCTTTCATTTCATAATCGGTTTCTATTTGTTCCTTTATGTATTAATTAAATATACACCCTGTCCGTGCCTTGCATTTTGCCCTGCACTGTTTTTGTTTGAGTGCCCTGCTGGGCTCCTTTAATGGTGGTCCTCTGTTCCTGGATCGTGCGGGGGTTGCGTCCATTTAACGCCGCCCTTCCTTATTGATCGTTTTAATAACTTTTGTGTTAACATTCAAAGGAATGAGTTGTAGAGAATGAAAACAAAACACTAGATTGTAATAAAAAAAATTGACCAATTTTTATTGGAAGATTATTGTTCCAAATTCATTTTGGGTAACATCGTTTTCATTATACAATCAAAATACTTAAGCTGTTTTGAGTGAGGTGAGGTTTTAAGGCGGAGTTCTTCTCGTTAGTGGCAAATTCTTTTTATTATTATTTTATTCTTTTTCTTCATTTCCTTTTCTTTGTCATTTCATTTCTAAAACAACAACCAATAGCAATGTATATATAAAATAGTAAAATACTTTTTTATGTAAGGAAAGCCCTTAAAAGGCAACTCTTCGAAGAGAATCTAATAATGTTCCTGTGACCAAATATTACCTTAACCCGGGGGTAATGGGTTTGCCTTTATATATTAAATGTTTAAAGTAGATTTATAAATAAACTTCACTGAAACAATAACAACTGGAGCTTAGAAATTTGGCATGAAAGATCTAGTGGACCTCCAAAAAGGTTTTTGGAATTGTCGTCAGCTAGCCCAATGTCGAATACCAAGAAAGGAAGTTAAATCTATTTTTGTCATTCAATATCAAGAAAATCTCGTACAAGTACAGACACAAGTTTTTAAACTGCGCCACTTGATATTTTGGGCATAAGCAGTGCGGATCGTTTAGTAAGTAAAATTTAATACACGTTTATATAACTTTAGAACTTTTGAAATTTTAAAACAATTTAATACATTGAACAGCGTTATACTCCTATGTGTACTTATTTCCTTCAAGTATGGACTAGATGGATAGTTTCTTCTCATAAAGGAATCTAAATTATTCAGCCGGAACCTAACCCACATCCATAAGTGACTTTTTATTTTAAGTCATCGACCCTTATCACTCGGTCACGGACGCCCTTAAATGTCAATCGTAGTGTTTCATTTTAGTTTGTTTGTTGGTTTTTTGGTCGTTTTTTGTTGTTGTTGTAGTTCTTTTTTATTGGGTATTGTTT